CACCATCATCATCATCATCATCATCATCATCATCATCATCATCATCATCATCATCATCATCATCATCATCATCATCATCATCATCATCAACATGGAGAACCGGAAAAGAAAAGGAAATTCTGATTAAACTGTATACTGTAGACATTAGTTGGAGAAAAATCAAACACGTCTCCAAACGGAAGAAAGTCATTTCACATTCATGTCGAAATAATTATCTACTCAATAGAAAGCAGATGATGGATTCTTTCATTGAAGTTACTGTAACCTGCACTCTCTATAGTTTGAATCGCCACGTTTTGGATTCTGCTGAGCTCTGCAACCATAACTTATTTTATAGATTGAAGTCTTATTTGCAAAAGAAAATATTGCTTCACCTTTTTTAACACTGCTGTCAGTGTCAGATTAGCACAAACCTACAGATTAGAATTCTGAATGTTTGTCTTGTATGAGTTGAATAATGCCATCAGGTGTACTATTTCTATGCTGTCCCAGTTTTTTCCTTTAAGAATGGCTAGATATCAGGCCTATTTTGTACGTTTCGATTACCATTGCAACACAGGCTTCTATTACGTTTTCCCTACTGGCGTCTGTGCTGTAGTGGTTAGGCTATATTATTTGCATCGCACACAAAACACCAGAGTTCAGTTCCTGCGGGCGGATAATTTTTGTCGAGTTTCTCGGTTTTTCTGCTAAGACGTTGTTTCTCTCTCAGCCCGGGTTGGCCCTCCTGACAGGCAGAGGCGAAGCCCGCCTCCTAAACGAGCTAAACTGTGGCAGTGGGGACTAAAAACACATAAATTTAGATTTTTGGTGTTCTTTGTTTATCCTTATTACAAAAGCTAGGGCTGAGATTGTTTCTTATGACTGCTCGTCCTTAATGATGAGATGGGAAGCAAAATGTGGAGGTATTAATCATTGTTGAATAGCACATGGTGCATGTTTAACTAGCGACACATGTACAGTGCGATCAAAATTCGTTGCGCAATATATCCTCAATTGTCTCTTTAACGGGTGAATCAATGTCATCAGTACTTTGCACTGCAGTTTATATCTATTTGTCTTTACTTAATCGTACATTTCCATAACAATTGAGGCTAAATTAAAAAGCTTTTCTTCATATATGTATATAAAATACTCTAAATCTCCGCCACATGGAAAAGGGTAGTGTTCACAGCGCTTCCCACTTCTCACACACATTTTGTATAAGCATATTATGGGCTACATCACAGCTCATCAATGACACTTGTCAGTGGCAAAACTTGTTACAAAAATTAGCTTTATTTTGAACACATTTTTTGCACTAGACGATCCCAAAACATACTTTCAATAAAGATAATGTCACGATTAGAAAACTATGGCTGACTTACTTTTAAAAGCGATATTGCCCCAGCTGTATATCATCTTAAAATCTGTAATATCTCCCACTTGGCTTTTTCATTAGTATTCATTATGGAAAATTTCTGGAAACAGCTAACAAGTATTTACAAAAATACTAATTTGTTAAGACAAATTGATATGAGTCATTGTGCAAACGCTAAAAAGTATACGCGTGATTGTTTAGTTAATATTTGACAATACGTTGCGCCACGAATTTTTGAATTTTTGTAGGCATTTAAAAATAGTGGCAACAAAAATTGTTCTGAAACAACTTTCTTTTGAGACAAATCCTATCTATTATGTTTTTGTTAATGTATGGAAAAAGTTTTGTTTGTGTGGGGAACCGTCACAGTCGCGCATTTTCGAAAAAAACAAAACAAATATCAAAGCCGTGCACTATCAGAGCCGCGCACTTTTGACGATATCGATACAATTAGAATGCCGGCTCTCCAACGGTTACAATACCTTTGACAACATTTCTTCGTACTATTTCCATAAAATTCAATGCCACGAGTCCGATGACAAAGTAAATGAGGTGTGTTCATTTCGTGTCACATAAAAATACCACTGGTTTACAAGTCTGCGACATTTTTATGTCTTGTATTAAAATCATTTCAGAATGTTTTTTCTTTCAGTAGGTATCAGAGTACAGTCAGTGTGACAAAAAAGACAACTCTTCAGACTATTAGTGGAGAAAACATAAGGAATGTGTATCAGGGGAGTCATTCATATGTTTAAAAAGATGCTGGTCCCAAGCCGAGTAAAACGCAAAGGAGACTCAAATTATTGGATGTTATTGATTTTGGTATTTGGCAATCTAATTGTATCAATATCGTCAAAAGTGCGCTGCTGTGATAGTGCACGGCTTTGATCGGGGAGGGGGGGGGGGGGGGGGGTTTCTTCGAGAGTAAGCGGCTCTGATGTTCTCCCGATTTTCTTTTTTTTAACCGCAAAACAAACACCGCCCGCACCAAAAATAAATTAATAATTAAAAATAAACTAATTAAGAAAAAAACATCGTCTGAATAGACTGGCGTATTTTGTGTGTGTGTGTGTGTGTGTGCAATCTTCGGTGCGTCAATGATGACCAATGACAGCACGT